CTTAGTCTCATTGCTTTGGCTACATTACGGCTGTGTTCCCCGCCCACGCGGTAGACAATTAGACATACATGGGGAGGTAGTGCAGCACCGCCCACCTCACCGAAAACCACACATGTTGGTGAGTAGTGCGGTCCTACGTCACAAAACAAACATCCCGCCATGAACAGAAATAACTACCCTCCATGATCACTACGGTAGGATTCACAGGACTTGCTGGCTAACCATACTCCCGCTCCACCACCCCTTGGCTACTACTGGGCCTCCCGTTAGTTAGCTACTACTGGGCCACGGTCTAAACTGCAACTGGGCCCCCGCCTCATACAGCCCCCGCGCCCTCGTGGTGAGTCAATAGCTGCTCTTTTTTGCACGATGGTTATGGCTGTTTCTTGGGGTCTCGTCGGGCAGGAGGGTGAACCCCCTGAAGGGCAACAATTCAAACTCTGAGGGGGCGGCTTCACACCGTTCCTTGTCGAGGAGTAACCCACTGGGGTGGTCTCGTGTTCAGTTCCCCTACCCACCCCGGCGAACACCATCAGACAAAGGGGACGCACGCGGCGGGATGGTGGTGGTGTGATGGTACGGTACCGTACCTGTTCTTGCGTTTTGATTGGTGCACAAACGGTAGATCGGACAGCGCCGCGCAGAGGGGATAAGCCGGTTGAGGAGCGCGCGTTTCGTGCTCAGCTCGAGCTTCGAGATGCTCAGTGTGTCGTGATTCACTGGGAGCCCACCCAACGCGAGGCTCACGAGGCGGTTTCCTGGGCGCCTGTACCGCTCAGGCATGGGCGGGAAGATCTAGTGCTCCGGGAACAGCGACACGTGGAAGTACGAGAAACGAGGGAGAGACGAGGGAGCAGAGGATGAGGTAGGGTAGGGGGAGTTCACTTAAGTATATCGAATATCAACTGGAAGGCGCAACGGCGAGCGGCGGGAGATTTAAAGAAGTGGTCGCTGAAGCTGTGTTGGAAGAAGAGCGGGGAAAGGGAGACGGACGAGAGTCGCAACGGCAAGCGGCGGGAGATTTGAAAAAGTGGTCGCTGAAGCTGTGGGAAAAAGAGCGGGAAGGAAGAGACGAGGCGCTTGGCGGGAAAGGGGAGTTTGGAGGTAGAAATTACGATACGAAGGGGCGGAAAATTGTTGGCGCAGGAGAAGGCGCCAAGCAAGCGCGCCTCCTCGTTCTTCTCCTCCCGCCGCTCTTCCTTCGACCTTCCTCGGCCTCCGTGAGCCGGTACGTGGTCGTGGATTTGGAGCGTGAAGCGTGGGACACGGGAAAGAACACGAAAACGAAAACGGACAAAGGGAAAAAGGTAAAAAGGGAGGGAAAGGTGGGCAGCGGAGAAGAGGACAGGTCAGAAGAGGCGGGAAATTGGGGGGGGGCAATGTTGCGGGAGACGAGATTGGCAGCGGGGGGAATGAATGAATGCGTGTTCAATGCTTGAAGGCTGTTGAGAGGAAAGGGTGAGCGTGAGTGAGCTAAAGATAGAAAGTGCGGTAGGGAGGGGGGAGGAAGTCGACGTGGAGGGGTTTGGGTGGGGGTAGGGGGGTGGGGTAGGGGGGGTTGGGTCGCGATGGCACCGTCATCGTCGGTATCGCCTAGCCGAAGGAACCAGAGGCGGGGGAGGTCACCAGGTAGGGGAATGAGACGCGTAAGGCGGGAGTATCGGAGTCGTTCTAAGGACAGGGATCGGTCGCCTCCGCTCAGAGATCGAGACAGGACGCCGCCGGCAAGAGACAGGGAGAGGTCGCCGCCGCCGCCATTGAGAGATAGGGATAGGGAGAGGGAACGGGATAGAGAACGGGAGCGCGAGCGGGAGAGGGAGCGGGAAAGGGAGAGAGCGAGGGATCGGGAACGAGATCGGGATCGAGAACGAGATCGAGATCGCGATCGGGATAAGGTGTCTCAACGAGACAGGGAAAAGCCGCGGGAGAAAGACAAGTCTCCAACTGCCAAAGATAAAGTTGCCCCACGCGAGAAAGACAGGGAAAAGTTATCCCGTGAGAGGGAGAAGTCGCCGCCACGTGTAAGGTGTATTTTGACCACTGTCTCTCTCTCTCTCTGTTTCTCTCTTCCTCCCCTCTTTTCCCCTCCTCTCTCTTCCCCCGTCTTCCTCACCCTCTCTCTCTCTCTCTCTCTCTCTTCCCCCCTTACCCCCTCTCTATTGCTTCCTCTGTCTTCCTTTGTCTTCCTTTGTCTTCCTCTGTCTTCCTCTGTCCTCCTCTCTCTCTCCCTCTTTTACTTTGTCTTCCTGTCTCTTCCTCCCTCTGTTCCTCTCTGTTTCTCTCTTCCTCCCTCTCTCTTCCGCTTATCTCTTCCCCTCCCTGTACGCCATGATCTTCTCCTCGGCCTCCTTTGATTCCGCCTCCTGTTTCCACTCTTTATCTGTATCCCTCTTGTTGCTATGTCCGTCTACCATGCCCTTTCCTCATTTTCTCTCTTCTGGTTGTCGTTGTCCTCCCACTCGATTCCCCCCACCCGCCCACCCTCTGTCCTCTCCTCGTTCTCCTGCAGCGGCTGCTGCTCGTCGTTGTCATCACCTCGCTGCTGTCTCTTCTTGATGCCTCGTTTTACTGTTCCGCTGGCTTGATCCCAATTACTGTGTGCATCTCCACCCCTCATATGGTCGGCTGCCCGCTGTTGGTTGCAAGGGTGCGTTACAGTATAGGGGGCGTAAAACTGGGTGGTGTGCCTGTTGTGCATAGATGCGGTCGAGCGGCATTCTATTGTTATTCTATTCTATTCTATTCCATTCTAATTAGACCAGAAGTTCTATTCTCTCCTAATTAAACCAGAAATTGGGGCCACGTTGTACAGAAAAATGCGGTTTGTGGCCTCTCTACTTGTGAAGAAGCCGGCGGCGAACTCTTACAATGGTCGGGATCGGGGTGCATCATCAACAGAACGAGAACATACAAAATGAAAAAAAAAGCGAGTGGTTATTTCCGACTTGTCGTATGGACACTGCGCAGCCCTGGAAGTCACCGATTTCAAGTTGCAGTCACTCAGTCATGTGAAGTTTCCTTTCTTGGTAATTGTTTTCTCCCGTCTTCACCGAACGAATGCCGAATGTGCACATCGTTTCCGAAATAGGAAAGCTTTAGAATTTGGCCTTCTCTGTGTTTTGTAGCAACTCCTCATTTGGTCGCCTTCTGTTTTAGGCGGCGCACTAATTAGGACTTGCAGGTTGACATCAACAGCCCACATGTTACTTTTATCGCTATGTCTGGTATTCCTTTTTCTTTCCTCATGAGGAGGATGATGGAACGGGTTATGTTTATTAAAGTAAATGAGGGGAGCCCCGGGGTGGGGTGGGGGTGGGGCGCGGTGTTATAGAATTACTTTCGTGACCCTCCCCATGGCCCCCATTGTCCCCTCCTCCCGCGCACTGTTTCCT